AATTAATTAAATTTTGACTTACGAATACAATATGTACAAAAGTTCGAAAAATTGTCACGCAAGGACTGTTCCTCAACCCTAGTGAAGTCAAAAACCAGTCGTTAATATCAAGAGCTGCAAACTGTCAAATAAAGAGAAACAACAAGTGTAACAGAGGTATTTAAACTATTGCCTACTGAGCAGTTAACAGTACACCATCGGAAGGTGTTACCGGCAGAAGGTAGGATTGGTGCAAGGGTCGCTTTCGTTTCATTGACTAGCATCAACCGGTGATATCCAAACCATTGGCATGAATGCGTTTAACATTTTCAGTCGATTCCATTATTTCCTTGAGAATTCATTTTCAACGCTCTGTCAGTTTGAAATACCGGTCTCGCCCTCTGTCCACTGGAACCAGGAATTTACAAAATTATATGAGAGGGAAGTTCGCTGATTTGCACTGGTTGCATGATGGGAGCTGACACCTCAATTTTTACAGTGGAATCCTGACCCTGCAGCTCACTGAGGCCCTGAGTGCGCAAATGCTCATTGTAACGTAGAATGCTAGATATGCTGCAGCTAGAAGTTTCCATATAATAGCATAGGTAGAAATGGCCCTCCTCAAGTGAAAATAACTCCCCTTGCTGAAAACATTGGATTTTCCGAGTTCCTGCAACCTACTCCCCGCATAAAATGTGTTTGTCTATAAGCCATGCAAAACATCGCAAAGTGCTCTTTAATGACACTAACAGAAATACCGTAGTTTGTCTCGTTAGTTGATAAGGCACTTGCAAGTTATGGTAACCTGTACAATTTCTGGAAGGCACATTTTTTTCTGGGAATTCCACTAAACACCAGTATAAAAACGAGAAAAACAAATTTCATTGTTATTAACGTCCGAACCTTATTTGCTTTAAGAACACGCAAACATAGTCGACATACGGCGTTATTACTTAGCACAAATAAATGGCAAAGGGAATTTACTTTCTGCTGAGCGGGTAAACTGTTTCATCAAGGCAGACCAGTATTCATAAGTGAGTGGCCAGGCGAAAATAACAACTTCATCTAGAACTCAGTCATCCAGGTTATAAGAAATCTCCTGAAGTTCTACCTATATCCTCATGTAACATGGATGTTATGACAAAATGCATTAAAAGTCAAAAAAAGATAGTTGCATTCCGCACATGGCTTATTCGAAATGATAGATCGCACGTGTTTTTATCATCTCTTCACTTAGATAAAAGCCTCATAGGCACGTCTGTTGGAGCCGGATGATATGAAGTTATGCATTTATGTAAATGAACCG